AATCTCTGTACTACTGAGGGGAATTAAATAAAAGGATTCATGCATCTCTGAGTGCAGACTCATATGGGCATCTTATGTGCAAATGTGGTAGCAGCTGTTCCTGTTCATTGAGTGGTGAGGGAGGGGTTCAGCTTTACAGAGATGGGGCCGAAGGCAAATGTTCCCTGGTTCTATATCCCCTGTCTCTTGTCCTGCATCCTCCTCCAGGTGCACTCTTGGACCCCACCTTCCTCTTCCAGTGCATCACAGCCAACATCATCTGCTCCATTGTCTTTGGACAGCGCTTTGATTACAAAGACCGCCAGTTCTTGCACCTGCTGGACCTGTTCAATCAGATCTTGTCACTCATCATCTCATTCTCCAGCCAGGTCAGTAGGTGCGAAAAGAGGAGCATCCAAGGCAGAGGAAAGTAGATGCTGCTAGGTGGATGAAGAAGGGAGCATCTTAGGGCTGAACAAAAGGCAGAGACATCTTCGAGATGCAAAGAGGTTGCGAGCAGGTGGGAGTAGGATAGGGGGCAGGGCAGAGATGTAAATGCAGAAATACAGTCATTCACACCTGCATGAAATGGTGATGTGGGTGTTGCAGCTGTAGCTCTGAGGGTAGAGGACTTGGTTTTTATGCATGAGGTCCTCATTGCATTTCCTGGGTGTGGTCGAACACCACTCATGCAATTCCAGAACGTGGAGGCAGGGAGATGATAAATTCAGGGTGATCCTTTGCTATACTGAGTTTAAGGCCACTCAGGCAAGTATGGGACCCTGTATGCATAAGCTAATCCCCAAAATAAAACACACAATGACAATTCAGCACAGGTATTGGGAGAGAGAGCAGAGGAGAGGAAAATGGAGGCACAGAGTGCAAGGCCAGGGTGAGAGGCAGGTTTAGAGATAAAGCTCAGAGCATGCATGTGTGTAGAGTACATACATATGAGAGAGATGTGTATATTTGTGTGTGCATTTTGTGCACTTATCCCTTTGACATTGGCACCTAGGGGTATGAGGTGGTTTGAGTGAGATTGGCCCACATAGAGTAGTGTATTTGCATGCTTGCAGAGCTGTTTGCAAGAATTAGGATTTGTGTCCTCATTGGAGAAGATGTGTCGCTTGAGTGTGTTGAGATAGAAGCGGCAGGGCTGTGTCCCCAACACCCCGGCCGCTTGGCTAGCTTATGCCCGAAATAATTACACGGAAACTGTATTCTTTCAAACACTGCCTGGCCCGGCTAGTTCCAGCTTCTTATTGGCTAGCTCTTACATATTGTTCTAACCCATTTCTAATATTCTGTGTAGCCCACGAGCTGGCTTACCAGGGAGGATCTTAACCTGCGTCTGTCTGGAGCGGGAG